ATGATGGTGTTTGGGAACAAAATCTCCATGTGTACTGTAAGCTATATGTGCATAAATCTAATGAAGCTGTTCAGTTCCCAATGGGTAATGCGATGAACAGAGGATTTCAAGAAGACGTTATGCTCACAATAGACGATTCAAATTTCCTCATATTAGACGGCCAGCGTTGCGGCCGAAAGCCGCTGGTTGTAATGTAACTTATTGCAGCTGTTCCTAGACTTCTTTTTCATTGGCCCACTTGCTGACGTACAGAAAATTTCGCAACCCACCGGAATACAGAACGAGATATTTCTAATTAATTATCACGTGAAGAAAACCGATCGACCTTTACTGCATCTTTTGTCCTGAGCGGATGCAGACGTAATGATTTTCTATACGGGGAAACTTTACGCGATCCACCTTGATGCCTCTCTCAGCCCTCCAGTGGGTCGCGACCCACAGTTTGGGAAACGCTAACTNCTCGGTCGACGATGGCGTTCCGGGTCGGGTGCGGGCCACGATTCCAATCGGGCCGATCGAGTTTCAACTCGGAGAAGTCACCCGGTGCAGGCCTCCGACGCGCAGAAAGATAGGAGAACCCGTGGAAACCACGTTCGCAGAGTACTTTTTGGACTTCTGACCCAATAAGTATCGCCTCCAGGTCATGAGCTTTCGATTGACTCCTAAAATGATTAAAATCCGTTCATCCGTCTAGGAGGAGTTTTCCGGAATGACAGACAGACGGGTCTTATGTATATGGATGCATTCCCAAAAGTCCTTGAAATCCGTCAGTCAACCGGTTTGGTTTACGGGAGACAGAACGGACTATGAAGAATGTAGGAGGATCACGAGGACGTTGAAACGAGAAAATAGATCTGCGAGACGCGAGGTCGAGGAACGGCTGGCCGGCGAGGCTGACAAAAACCCAAACGCTATTTATCGGTATGCAAGTAGTAGGTCGATCGGGTGTCTAATGAACGACAGGGGGGGAGTCGATTACAAGTAATAAAGACATGGGTGGGATACTAAACGAGTTCTTCGCTTCCGTTTTCACTGTGGAATCCGACTCGGCACCGTTTTGGAGGAGATGACCTCGGCGCGCTAAGAGGAGATTTCCATCACCGAGGAGAAGATCGTGACAATCATAGCTGAAGGTGGGCAAGGCGAGCGGTCCCGGTGGGATTCCGAAGAGAGCCATCAAGGAAACCGCGAGAGACTGATCGGTTCCGCTAAGAATCATATTTGAAAGCAGCTTTACGCGAGGCGAAGTACCTAAGGACTCCAAGTACCGACACGTGCCGAGAAGGACTAAAAGAGTCATCCAAGGCCGGTAAGTTTCACGAGAATCTAGGGGAAGATCATGGAGAGCATCCTTAGGATATTCTTGGATATCCTCGAAGGAAACTCATTCGAGACTCTCGACAAGGATTTGTCGAAATTGTCTCACCTACTTGCTCCAATTCTGCGATCGGGCGACGGAAGCGAGGGACGAGGGGAATCCTGCGGACATGGTCCATTTAGATTTCGCGAAAGCTTTCGATGCCGTCCCTCACAAGAGGTCGAGGGCTAAACTGGAGGCCCATGGGATCCAGGGTAGGACGAGCGAGTCGATCGGTAACTGGTTGACGGGAATAGAGAGCAGCGAGTAATTGTACATGAGGAAGCGTCGACGGAGGTCGGAGTCGCAAGCGGTGTCCCTCAGGATTCGGTTCTGGGACCACTTCTGTTTCAGGTCTACATAAACGATTTGAATCTAGGCGTAGAGAGTATGATGAGTAAATTTTCGGACGACACTAAACTAGGTTTTTCCGTAAGGGGGGAGGCGGATAGGGCTAGAACCGAGCAAGTTTTGAGACTTTTAGATGAGCGGAGGAAGAAATGGCTTAATAAGGTTCAATAAAAGTAAGTGTTAAGTTCTCCACGTCGTTCGAAATAACGGTAGGTCTCTCGAGGCGTCCGGCGAAGATAAACGGGGTGAGGCAAACGGAGCGAGAGATTAAGGAGCTTCTATCAATGAAGACATGGTTATCCTCGCACGCGCAAGCGACGGTGGCCAAATGCGGCAGGATTCTAGGATTCATTCGTCGTTCAGTTGCAAGTAGGAACTCGCGCGTTATTCTTCAGTTGGAATATTGCATCCAGTTTTGGAAGCCTGCAAATGAAGGTAAATTGTTGGTACTCGAGGGGGTACAGAGGAGGGCCACAATAATGATAAAGGAGGTTCGGCGCCGCCTGGACGAAAATCATTCACAAGTCTTGGGACCGTACTCGCTCTTGAGAATGCGAAGACGAATCGAACTCGCCCGAATAACTTACACGGAGATGGGAATTTCTCCCATGGGAGAAGTCACTGGATGCGATGCCCAAGTGCACTCGAAGGAATGAAGAACAGACCACACAAAGTGAATGGAGCCATGCTTGCCAGGAAGGATCCAGAAGGCCAGTGTGGCTACCGATTGGACTTTAAAGGCCGGGTCTCTCGACGTCGTATAATACGACATCGGTCCGAATTTGCATAAGGGCGTCGTGTCGACGCACGAGGGACACAGTAGACATGGTTGGAAGTCTGTAGCCGACTTCCTGCCCTCGATTCCATTCAAGTACGGGTTTCTCGGATCTAGATCGATATCTGTTTCCTCGGACATATTACGAAGGGAAAGCGAGGGAGCCAGAAGGAGAGAAACGGGGAATATGATCACCGTATCTGTATGAGATAACCTTGTGGAGTCATTTCCATTGGTTTTCCAAGTTAAATATGAATGTAAGAAATTCAAATCAATCTCTTGAAAATCAAATGGACCGCTGTTCTACATGGGACAACCAAGATTGCCGTAAGGAAGACAAAAGAAAACAGACTTCTTCAATGTTGGCCTCATGCTAAACAATGAACGAAGGGAGAAAAAAAAAGGCAACCATCGAACCGCACGTTATGGCAGGCGAACGCGGTTACGATAGCATTTCTAAAATTTTGATTTTTTGATTAAAAGTCCCACTTTCGCGTATCTTTTGACAGTGAATTAAGTTCTTCAGTAACGACTTCTCGAAGCGATTTTCCGAGCGAAAAATCCGAGTCCGGCCAAGAGCGGAAGCAGGAAAGAGAAAAAAACCATTCAGAGGACATGCTTTGGTAGACAACTGCACGAAGGAAGGAATGGAGAAGGGAAACGGGTGGAATCGTTTCCTTTAGAGCCCCGGGAGAGATGGAGTCTGGCCAACATGGGTCCCACTTTTCGACGCATCTGATTGGCTGACGCACATGGGCGTCATTTTCACTTCAGGCAGAGGAAGGCTGATTACGCTTACCCAATAAAATTGGGCATCGGGGTAAGTTTGATCATTCGCAACGTGAATCTTTCTCCAAGTCTTCACGTATTATTGACTCGTAGACAAAGACTTAAAATGTCAATTACGTTCCTGAAGGTGTTCCTGGAAGTGCCTCAAAATGCCCTCCCCCTACGTGAAGGGCATTCTTCCAGCTGTTGACATCAAAATATTCCAAAGCACTTACTCATGAACTCATATTATCCTGGCTTTCATGAACTTCAAATAGAATAACTAGGTTTCACGACTGCACAAAAAGGAACAGCTTTAGCATGTCAACATGTATGGAAGTTGTAACAGGGTCTGGCTATGACAATTTTGTCTATCAGGAGTTCCAGTATGAAAAATTGTACAGCACAGAAAATTTGTTTTAGCAGTTGGGCACTGAGAAAAAGTTACTACTGCCATAATCTTTATTAATCCATTATGTAAGCTCCTTACAGGGGCTCTTCATAGGAGTTTGCTTCCTCAGGTATAAACAGGGTGTGCCAAAAGTAGGCATACAGTTGTATGTTGAATTGTGTAAGAAAGAGAAACACGCCACTTCGTCCGGACAAATTCCTCATTTTCGGTCTTACTGTATTGCTTGAGTACCCACTTGCGTTGATCAAACGACAAATTCCCAGCCGTCACTGTTTATTAACTACCGCCAAATAAACATACAAATAAAATAGGCAAAAAACAAAATATTTCATTAGAGACCTCCATCCTTTTTTCTGGACAAATGTACAAACAAAGCATTTTTTGGTAAGAACATAATTCATATATTTTTTACATGTAATAGCATATTTCCTAATGCAATATCATAAATTGGGTCACGGACATGCAAAATAACCTTAATATATTTTGAACTCATGTGATCCTACAGCAATGCACATCTCAGAGAATACTCATTAAAAGAAATGGTATTTTATATAATTGCCATTGAATTTTAGTGAAGCACGATGAAATCAATGTAGCATTCAGCTTTTGTCAATTCAGAGTTGGGGATTACAGCATCAACCCCATGATTGCTAAATGACAGATTTAGACGATGAATCGCTTATACAGGGTGATCGTAAAGTAACGCAAGAGGGAAGTATATGAGTATATTCCTTATTAGCTTCTCGTAAGGGATGCTGAATATGTCCCCGCCGATTTCCCTGCATAAATCTCACAAGTATCTGAAACAATTATGATATATAGAGGGTAACGTCAATGAATAATAAATGTATTATGCACTCGAGAATATGGACATATATACACAATATGCCATTGTAATTTCCACTAACGTTACTTTATGATCACCCTACTGTTGAAACTGGGAAGGAGACATTTGGAAGATGAGCTTCTCTTCACTCTCAAAAACTAAATAAATACATATTTGCACCGCCGAGGTACGGCTGCGAGAAATGTGTCATCCTTTCATATCGCGCCATAACCATAACCGAATGTTTTCATCAATACAATGAAAAATGCATGTGCACTAAGACCCCATACACATTGCATATGTGTGCAATTGTTTCTTGGGATGTCTAGCTGGCAGCACAACTCCTGAGATCGGCAGGTTTGCACTTTTGAGAGATTCACTATCCTCTGCATGCAGAGAAATTGTTGTTGGATATTAATGCACTCGTAAGGACATGAATGACACCATATGAAGGAATTCAAATCCAACTTTTCCACATAAGTTCCATTTTGACACTTCCCACGAATGCTCCTTAGGAATTCTTCTTTGAGCCAGGATGCTTCACAATCACACTGAATGGGGTTGGCTGGAAGTAAAGGTTAAGAAAAGAGTCTAATGTATGCGAGAAATGGTGGATGACAAAACCATTGAGGTGTAATGTGAGGTGAATAACAGGAAAACTCACCCTCCAAGTGGAGGCCCCCATCTCCCAACGAAAGCACCTCTAGTATGGGACGGAAGCTTTCCTCAGCCAATACAGAGATGTTATTGTTACTAAGGGCAACTGATGAATTTGGTCCTAGACCTGGAATGCATATGAGAAAAAAGCTTTAAAAAAAACACTGCATCACTACTTCTCAACTTTTCCTGCATATGCTCATTTTATTGCTGGACTTTCAGTAGAAAAATCCGTTATAAAAATCGCTTTCAAAACATCAATGTGCTCTATTTAATTGTTTAACTCCTTGAGTACCGTGGGCCCAATAAAATCTCTCATATACTATATCTCCTCTCTGAAACAGACGGGATGTCTCATATTCCGAGGTGCAATTCCATGCAAACGTTAATATAAACTCAGAAAATGCAAACTTTTGTTTTACAAATTGCAAAACAAAAATTTCCGATGGAAATTCTCAGCAATCTCAGCTAATCCAATGACGTTAAAAAATAATAATTTCCATCGGATGAGGGGTTAAAAAGATATAGTTCCCCCCTTTCTACCTATTCCCCGAAAGTTGATGGAAAAACAGAAGAGGCGACAAAATCGAAATCCTGGGGACTAATTATCGTTAGGAGGCATGCAATAGCTTCAATGGGATCTCTTCAACGGGGTAATCATTTTCACCATACATTCTTGGAGTTTGAATATTTCAATATCATATTTCGATTTGAAAATGCGAAATATCGGCATTTTTGACCCCCAAGTTGACCCCTATGTCTGTATTTTCTCTCCCCAATGTGGAGAAATAGAAGACAGATCTCTCAGTGGAATGTGTCACTCCCGTTTCAGATGATCCAACAAAGCAAGGTACATGTTTCATGTTTTGTCTGCTACATAAAGACACATTTCCCTCGAAGCTGGAAATGCCTCAGCCACTGCCTGGTTGAGTTCGTACGGAGGAACCCCATGAATTTGTTTCTTTTAGGAGCTAGTATACATACACTCATTTTGTTCGGAGTTGTTTGGAGTACCCACTGGGTACTCCAAGCAACTCGGTGGTAGGATACGAAACCATGCATTAACAACGACTGTTTACTAAAGGTCACCCCCTTTCCTTGCTATATCGATGCTGTTGCAGTCGTACTTCACCTAAAGGGTTCATGTGTTTAGTGAAGCGTCAGACCTATACTGAGGGAATCGGATTGTACCTGCGAATAATTTACCATATTTTCCCACAGCCGTGGAGAACTAGTTTTAATTTTAGTTGCTCAACACCAGTTTCCATGCCTTAGAAATGATTTTCAGTATATGGAATATTTCGGTCTTGGCGATTCAACGCAAACTATACTTTATAAGCGTTTCCGACATCCCACTTTTCCAGCCATTCCAGGGGATGGGTGGATGAAAGCTCATACCTGTGATGGCATTTGGCTCCAGCTTTGAGATGTTGTTTTTCCACAGAGATACGAGCTTCAAGTCCTTGCTGCGAAACTGTAACAGCCCGCTTGGAAGGGTAGGTCCCAGATTGCATTCTGTGCACCAAAATATCTCCAACTTCGCAAGACCTTTGATCACTGCTGACGGGAACTTCGATAGTGGATTGTGATCTATATGAAATGAAGCAGCAAAACTCATGAGGACAGCAAAAAAGCGACCAATGTTAAATCATTTGGAAGTAACTCTTCAATAGTCTACAATCTAGAGTACTCAACCCTTCTGAATCTATTTTTAAATGGGAAATTAATGTGTCGATAGATGCAATTTATGTAGAAAGAAAGCGTGATTTTGTTGCAATTACAATAATGTATATTTTTATGAAGTAGAAACCCTTTTACGATGTGCCAACGTAATTTGCAATACTTACTGCATTCAGGATAAGACGTATTGAAAACAAGACTGGAATGCATGGATAGTATTTCCTTTTCGTTCAAAGGATCCAGTACCTCCGATGTCACGTAGCTGGACAATTTTGCTGAAGATTTACATAATTACAGTTCGAGAGTATCTTCTAATGAAGTAGATGTGCGAAACCGAATGAAGAAAAACTCTCCCTAGCTCTATGATATTCGTACCACAGATAGCAGCACGTTTTGCGATTTTTCAGCACTTGGCGGCAGGACAGCGTGATTTGAACAGAATGCACTGAATGGTGATTGCCACAGCTGATTACATGTGGAATGGGTTTGAAGGGCAACGCGCAGTGATGTCATTTTGAGGGCTGGGGATCTGACAACGACTGACATTCATTGATGTGCGTTCGTTATGTATAACGGGACGTCTTTTGAAAACAGCTGTCGTCCATCGGAGTATGATTCCGAAATGGACGTAAGTCGATGAAGGCGATAGGTAACTTATGCAAGCAGAATTTGCCATCACGCTGGAGACTGAGGACACTGTGAACGAAGCTATTTGGGCGAATAGGCGTGATAGTCGCAGTTGCAGCGGATGTGTCTTTGTGCACGCGTCTTCATGTGCCTTCATGTCCTTAGTTTTTTTGGCCAAAATAAATCGCTGCGCCTTTCAGAAGTATTTTCATCCTCGTCGACCTGGGACACAAAATATTGCCATCGGCTAATATGGTTATTTTGAAATTCTTATTTACCGAACGTGAACCCGGCCTGGCCTTCTCACAGAGGGGTTATCTATTAGCGTGATAACGTGCGTCTCTTCACAACCAACAACTGGTCAGGGCAAGAAGTTGTTGCGGAAAGCTCTTGAGTCAGGACAGTCCCTTACAGTCAGGACATGTCTTCAAGCTACTTCCACATATTTAAATTACTAAGGGAAACGCAGAGAGTACCATGGTTTCACAAGGGTGCTGATCTGAAGGTGGAGTTCCGACCTAATTCCAGAAGCCAACTGTGTATTACGAGAATGAGTAATTCATTCTCTGATCACACGCGGTGGTACCTGTCTCTGAAAGAGGTGCACATCAGGAATTCTCAGCAGAGGAATTCTCTCAGCCTACGAACTGTTATCCTCTGATGATCCCATTCTGCTTCTTTTGCACATCTACAACGAACATGATGAGTAATGTCTTAAAATTGCATACCTCTCCTATTTCCTCCTGTAGTGAAAGAAGTATTTGAAATGTCGTCAATTTCTTCCTATTTCAAAGACAACTCCAGATAAATGATACATGAAGCTTCAAATATTTTAAATCCCTCCCCTGCTCCACGCTAGAACTTCTTTTTCAGTATTTGATTAGTTATATTATGCATATTATAACGAAAATGATCAGGAAGGGATATCAGCGCCCAATGAGAGAATGCCGATGAAGGGAACCGATAACGAATCGTCGAACTGCAACAGGTGTCATGTACTCACTGATGCTTAGCACTCGTAAATTGGGAGTCGCCCATCCGTCTTCTTCTATTTTCGCAATGCTATTGCGAGAGAGATCCAGCTTATGGAGACTGTCGCTCTGAATAGCCGGTATTGTCATCAAGGAATTCCTCTGGAGTTCGAGTGTTCGGAGGCGCCAAAGTGTCGGGAGAATATGAAAAGGAAAGTCCAGTAGGTGACTGTGATAAACGCTCAGTCTTTGAAGTCGGTTTCTGGATGTGAGGATGACCGACGGATGAATCGCCTTCAGTGCGGTGTTGTTCACGTAAATATAATTGAAGGAGAGGTCTGCGAAGACCCCCTCAGAAAGCTCGTCAACCTCCGTGTTATTTTGCAGAAGGAATTGGCTGCAAAAGAAAAGAGGAAATACGGGAATATAATATCTTGTAATACTAAAATCAGAGGCTGAAACTTATCACGGTAGGAAATACTGTATAACTGGACCGTAAGGCGGACAAATATAGGGACATTCCAGTCTGATATTCCACATTTTTTAAACTTTCGTTGCGATTGAAACTCAGATTTGCTGTAATAAATTCCTACATGGTGGACCATAAGAGTTTGGAAAATTGAAAAGGCTCCGCGTTCGGCGGTAACGGTTCATTAGATAAACGGCCTCAAAATTGATCCCCAAAAGGAAAACAAAAATGCATTATGAAAGTCCTATATTTGGTACTATTAGCACTCTGAAAGCGTTTTTGGCTCTCCAGTTACAGCTGCGGAAGTTCAGAATTTTATTATGAAATTAATTTTCCACCAATGGTGGAAAATCCATTTAAAACATGATGTTTAAAATAAACTAAGTTGAAATCTTGTTGTGTAAGTTGAAAGCTGATGAAACGATTAGAGCTTTTTTTAGCGCAACAGCAAGAATAATGAATTAATACATTTTCATCATTAGTCTATTTCCTTGCCAGGAGATACTTTTAAAATAAACAGAGATGATACAACCATACGTCTGAGGTTAAGCCTTGGACAGAAATTAAAGACCTGTTCTCATATTGTGGATGCTCCAAAATCCAGTCGAATACGAGAAGTAAAAACAAGAGGGAACTTGGACCTACTGGAGTTGAGTGGAGGGCCAGGATGCGTTTTTCAGAGCTGATGATATCTCGTCGCTAGTGGCTGCACTAGAGCAATCCACTTCCAAATGGCCTGAAAAATACATATTGCACGTGCAAGGCGATATGTCTCGGATAGGGCATGATAGGGATGGGGATAGGGCACCCGTTGGCAGCAACGCCAAGGAAAAGAGGGAGATGTAGACGATGGCGGAAGACGCCATCGGGATGGCAGACGCTAAAGATTTGTGCGGAAAGTCTGGACGGAATGCTTTTAGTTCACGGTTCCCAAGGGGAATTTTAAGGAGTTTTTTTCCTTCGAGTTGTTGAATAAGGGTCCACTTGAGTGGTTCTCCTTCAGGAAAAGCAACACTGAACACTGATCCTGGGAAGAAAGACATTCACTTTCATGAGTGAAAATGTTTAATTCACATACGTTAAATTCCGTTATCCATTATGTAACATACCGGTGAAATAGGAAGCCATTTGTATCCGCTCGTGCTGATTGGGGTTGTTTCACTTTGGCAAAATTATTCTTTTGCTTTGATTTTCTGAAAATGTTTGAACATGAGAGCCATATTGTAATGCAATTTCTGAAACCATAAGATAGCATATAGCTAAGCCACGTAATCCCGATAGTTGAGCCCGTAGCGCCTTCAACAGCTTCATTGGGACAACATAGGTTTCATTTTCCATGCAAGTAATGCATGATTATGAATTATTTTCGTCGGTATACTTGTTCATCATATATCCTTATGTACATCACCAAAATAACCACGAATTTGGGAGAAGGAGATAGAAGCATTCCCGGGGAACGGGCTTCGTCAAATATTGCAAATTAAAGAATAAGGATTCAGAGAAATATTTATTTGCTGGAAATGGGGTAGAGTTTCTCTCGAATATCCTCCACATGATTAGATGAATGCATAAATATATCTCTAACAGCAAGGAACATTAATGTGTAGGTGGCTGTGGGTCTTAATGGAGGCTCTTCAGCACAGTCGATTATCGAGTGATGAAAAGCAAAATGCTTTAAAATTGGGATCTTAATGGAGGCAGAGGCATGGTAAGCACACCTGATTTTAACCGATAAGAACGATGACTACCATTCCTGTTTCCGAATTCAGAATCTTCCGTGGACCGTCTGAAGGTCCAGTGGGTTATACATGTACTTGTTTATGTGCATGAAATCGTGAGGTTTCAAACCGAAAATATGTCATCCACTGCACAAATGAGCTATGTCAGGAATGTAAGGAGTCGACTGATTTCTCAGCTTGGAATTGCAGCTCGCGACTTACAAATGGGACGATCTTATTGACTCAGACTATCACGATTTCAAACTAAGAAAGAAGAATGCAGTACAACACCCTCGGGAGAGCTGCAGTGCAGATCGCTTCCGTGCGCAATCAGGAACTCAAATACAATAACCTTCCACTAAATTTATGTAAAGTGCAGCAGTCTCAAAATCACAGTAACCAGAGGAAGATGTTCAGACGGGATCATCCTTCCTAATTTTTTAATTTCCATATTTCTGGCCGTTTTCGTTAGAACGCGGCGCCTCAAGTTATTCATATGTTTTGAGCACAATGCAGCTGATCCTCTCCAGCAAATACCTAGTAGTCTTGTAGTAATATTATTTGGGGATATAATTATTTGTCAACTTTTATTCGCTTTATTGTCATGTATTTCACAAGAGTGAATTATTACGAGTAACCAATCGTAATCGCAAATTTCGTCCATTGACTTTCATACTTTTTCACTTGTTTGAGTTTACTGTATAGACCATTATTTAGCTGAAACACAAATTTATGTTATAATCTTGAGAGTTAGGCCATCCTAGCGAATGAGTATACCCTCGTAATATACGAAAACTGCGAGGGCACCTCCAAACAGCTCGAGTTCAAGCTTTCGAACGAGGACAGGAAGATAAGCTGAAGAAAATTAATAATCCAGGAAAAGAAAAATTCCATTCCTTGAGGGGAAAAAGTCCTCCCTCTCCTGCTTCTTCTCTTGTTTTCAAAATCTGTCTTGAAGGTCGTAGGAAAAAAATGGAGCAGTGACTTTGCTCCCACCCTCGAGGAATATCATCACCACTGTTAGCTTTATTTCATTAGAGAAAACCACGATTTCACGTATTTTTTTACGACCGTGCATGATACCAGTTGCTACTTTTCTTCCTTTGACATGGTAAATTTTCCGGCGGTCGAGAGGAAGTCAAGCGTCGACTTGAAGCGCTTGAAGACATGTCCTGACTGTAAGTGAGATACTCAAGAGCTTTCCGCAACAACTTCTTGCCCTGACCAGTTGTTGGTTGTGAAGAGACCCACGATATCACGCTAATAGATGACCCCCTCTGTGAGAAGGCCAGGCCGGGTTCACGTTCGGTAAATAACTTCAAAATAACCATATAAGCCGATGACAATATTTTATGTGTCTGAGGTCGACGAGGAGGAATAGGTTGTTTCACATGAAATGTCCGATTTTGAAGATGAGATTTAAAAGGCTATATTTTTAACAAATAAAATTTCATTTAACTAAAATATGCTCCATTAGCTTGAATTGTCTTCTCCCAACGGGATACTAAGGAAAATATTCAATTTCTATAAAATTCTACATTTTTTGAATTAAGAAACTCCTCAAATGCTCCAATTACAGCCTCTCGGTCCCGGAATGTTTTATTCCGGAGAAACAGCTCCAAGTGACGGAAAAGGTGATAATCCGTTGGTGAAAGGTCAGGTGAGTATGGTGGATGCTGCAAAATTTCATAGCCCAATTCTGTTAATTTTCCCACGGTGGTTCGTGACGTGTGGGGTCGAGCATTGTCGTGCAGCAGAATCGGTCCTTGTCTGTTTATCAATATTGGCTGTTCGGTGGCCAATTTTTGATGCATAATTTCAATTTGCTGACAATATGATTCTGCTGTAATTGATTGTCCCGGTTGCAAAAAAGAATAGTGTATGATTCCCTTTGCAGACCACCATACTGTCACCATGACCTTTTTTGGGTGCAATGGCGGTTTTGGTGCATGTCTTGGAGCTTCACCAGCATTCAACCATTGTCCACTTCTTTTCCGGTTATTGTACAGGATCCATTTCTCGTCGCAGGTAATGATTCGCTCCAAGAATGGCTCTTTGTTGTTCCTGACCATCAGCGATGAACACACCTCCAGGCGTCGCAGTTTCTGGCTGTCCGTCAATTCGTGCGGCACCCACTTCTCCAATTTTTTCACCTTTCCTATTGCAGCCAGGTGTCGAGAAACAGTTGCAATAGAAACACCTAGGTGTATTGCAAGAGTCCGAACTGTCGTTTGTGGGTTAGCATCCACGATGGCTCTTAAATGTTCTTCATTCACAACAGATTCAGGCCTTCCTCGGGGCTCATTTTCGAGATTCATGTCTCCAGATCGAAAATTTTCGAACCACCGCCGAATAGTCCGCTGGTTAGCAGTCCCTTTCCCGAACGCCAAGTCGATGTTACTCGCGGCTACAGCTGCGTTGTGCCCCAATTTGAACTCGTACAAAAAAAGTAGTCTCGATTCTTTTGAAGACATCATATTGTACAGGCAGTCCTCGACATATGACGGTAATACGGGGGAGGCCTCAGGCCTACATGTCAATGACTCCTTCAGCCCTAGGCTCAGAGCGTCCTAAGTCAAAGTGTCGTAAGTCGGAGCGTCGTAAGTCGAGGACTGCCTGTATAGAGAAAAATCGGGCATTTCATGTGAAACAACCTAATACCTCTGAAAGGTGCAGCGATTTATTTTGGCCAAAAAAAGGACATAAAGGCCTTGCCAGGACCGCGTGCACAAAGATATACATCCGCTGCAACTGCGACTATCACGCCTATTCGCCCAGATAGCTTCGTTCACAGTGTCCTCATTCTCCAGCGTGAGGGCAAATTCTGATTGCATAAGTTACCTATCGCCTTCATCGACTTACGTCCATTTCGGAATCATACTCCGATGGACGAAAGCTGTTTTCAAAAGACGTCGCGTTATACATAACGAACACACATCAATGAATTTCAGTCGTTGTCAGATCCCCAGCCCTCAAAATGACATCACTGCGCGTTGCTCTTCAAACTCATTCCATATATAATCAGCTGTGGCAATCTCCATTCAGTGCATTCTGTTCAAATCACGCCGTCCTACTACCAAGTGCTGAAACATCGCAAAACGTGCTTTCTTTGGTACGAATATCATAGAGCTAGGGAGAGTTTTTCTTCATTAAGGTTTCGCACATCTACTTCATTAGAAGATTCTTTCGAACTGTAATTAAGTAAATCTTCAGCGAAATTTGAAGAAAAATATTAATGAATTAAATGGGAAAGAGCTTCTCCCAGGCGTGGGATCCTCAAATTCTTCTTACCATCGGAAAATGCGAAGAAAATTAAACACTTGCTGCTTTTCTGTCTCCCTACCCTTCTTCGTTTGTAGCCCAGTCAAAAATTTTCGTTGGTGAATCTTCGGGCCAATGCTGGGGGAGTTGTCCCATTTTCGGCGAATGATTGGCAGGCCAACTCACACTTGTGAGTCACTCGTGAGTTGGTCGGCCAATCAGTCGCCGAAGTTAGGCCAATGTGGATGAGAAGGTTCCGAGAACCGGCGAGAGATGGAGCCAAAGTGGTCGTAGTGGGGTGTCACTTCCCGGATACTACTGAGATGAGCCCCCTGTCCCTTTGACACGGTTCCCTATGGTTTCTCACATAGATCTCGGAGGAAGACAATCGAATTCCTTTCACATTTCTCTGAAGATGCGACCTAGCTCTGGAATAAACCAGGAACTTCCGGCCCGGAGGTCCGTGGGAGGACCCTTCTCCTTTCCACAATCAGCCACGCGAGTGTAACTTCGTCACTTTACGGACATTGTCTTCCCTGTTCAAATACATGTAAGGTGTGTCTAACTTTTCGAGGGAGGGTAGACACCCTTGCATTCCTATGTGATTCCACTCGGGGTTGCTTCATCATCCAGAAGGGGCATTGTATGGAATGTTCTTGGCGATAAGAGTGTACCTGTGTGAGATACTCAGATATAAGTCCTGCTCTTTCATCTCTACCAGATGAGGAGGTCACAAGATACATAAAGCTGTAGATTAAATTTTGCCTCGTTTTTTTTCAGTCGATGGTTGGGGCATGTGCGGTTTCCCAACAATGAGCCAAAGTTGTCCCAATGAAGGGCCAACAGGACATGCCCGACTATAAGCCGGCTTAAACCAACCGTGAGCCAACCATATAGCAATGATGGCCTAACTACGGCTTATATGTGCATTGGCGAAAAGCCATCGATGGCCCCACGAAAAATTTTTGACTGGGAATCTCTTCCGTCCTGTGTTTTGTTCCCCATTTCCTGAAGACAAACAGGAAACAGATAAATCCTGATGTGGGAAGTGCTAATCCATATCAGGCTTCCTCCGGTTTCTTCCTGTCTCATTCACTGCGACTTTCAGTGCCTTCAAACACTCTTCCTGGAATGTGAGATCATTTTCTTATCCCTTGAAGAACGTCATTCACCATCCCAGAGAGAGTCGTCTACCTCACCGGGGGATTTCCCTCATCTTTAAATAACCGCGGATGGCTAGATAGTTTACGTCGGATACAAGTAAACGGAATAACATGAATGTGAAATTCATAATGTCAGCGACACAATGCTCGCTGTACTTATGTTTTTCAATGTATAAATAATATGAAGCCTCTCTTGGGGCTTCAAACAAATCAGCTTCTACGAAATTGAAATACTTTTCATAATATTGATGAATAAGACAATATTGATATCCGGCATATTTGATTTTTATCGGCCTCTGTACGAGTGGGAAGAGAGATAATCTTAGTCTTTCCTGACATCATATCGCTCATTCGACTTACATTTTGTTGCATGCGTTTCATGAAATGTTCTTAATTTATAAAACAAGGTTCGTCCGTTTGTTCCTCTGTCTTCTCTGGTACCCCTGAAATGCAATAATGGGAGTTTGACGGCTAATTAGCATTTACCACGAAAGTTACTGGAATGGGAAGATTCAACACCTGGTACGTTCATAGAAGTCGAGAGGACCCATTTAGTTAATTCAATGCATTGTGCACTCTCTGTCCAAACCGTTCCGGTGAATCCTCGCCGAGATATGATTACGTCTCATCCTGTTGATATACAAAGTGATTGCATAATCTTCCTAGTAGCTGACTTTGCCTGCTCCGAATCAGTATAAGTTATGAGAAATGTATCTAATGAATCTATTTTCAAATTCTGAACGTGCTGTACGAGTAAACGACCATTGGATCACGTCCGGACGCGTCTTTTTCCATAGGCATTCATTTTGCAGCGTTCGTGAATTCATATTAAGCTTGTTAAAATATCCCCTAAGTACAAAAACGATCTAGAACCATAAAATGGGAAACAAATGATACTCACGTTCGGCTCAATAACGTCATTTGATGATGAACGAGGAACAGAAGCAAGCTGCTCCGAATGGGCAATAGGGATGTCTGCTTCTACTCCACTCGACACAACGCATGAGACTGTCTCATTCCAAGAAGTAAACTTCCTATAAGAGTGTCACATCCTTTGCATAGAACTACAGTGCGCACTATTCCAGTCACGCGTACGGCTCCAATCTCTCTCCACTTCATTTCTCCGCCAACCCGCACTTTGATTTATTTTTCTCAAGAGGAAACGGCATCAATTGAATTTCGGTACAGGTCAGTCCCTTTCCCATCGTGCAGGGTCGCCTGAGAGGCGTCTGCCAAAACGAAATAGCCGAGAGTGACGGGTGGTTTGAGTGGCTGCGTATCGTCTAGAGCAGGGGTGTCAAACTCAAATCGGTCGGTGGGCCGCATTCCTTACCCTGCAGATGCCTGCGGGCCGCACCCATAAAATTTCACTGAAATTTGTGCTGACACTCAATCCATGCGGAAATTTTCAAAAGCAGACGGCGGGCCGGATGAACCACATCTGCGGGCCGTATGTTTGACACCCCTGGTCTAGAGGCTAGACGCATGTCAACCTCCATCCTCCACCGGTTTGAATATTACTGACAATTTGCTGAGGTACCCAGCGTTGTACTGGTGAATATGGTATACCCGTGGTGTCCAATACGTTCGCCACTTGCCACATTTTACTTCGTATTTTACTGTGTATCAGTCTTGATTGATAACGGCTTACAACCCCAAGTCTAATTTCAAAAGATTGCGCATTCTTTTTATTAATAGTGCATATATTTTGTATAGTGTGCTGAATATGGTGGTCTGGTCGCCACAAATTTGGGGAGCATCGAAATCCTATTGGACACCACTGTTCCATACGATCCTTTTTTGTGGGTTTAATGCTCCCTAGACAAACCCGCCTAAAATTGTCTAAAATATGTAGCTTCTACTACGCAAGCAACTGCAAAATTCCAATACCAAGCTGCACGTTAAAGCTTAAATTTTTTCATCACCCCCCAAATCGTTGACGCCTTGGTTTGTAGTGAGTCGGCGAAATCTGCGCAAAATAAGGTACCGCGGGGGGTCTGAATTTTACAAACGTCACCTAGCCTCCGACCATCCCCGGATCAATGAGGACGCTATGGGAAATTTGGTCGGAATGGAATCGAGACGTGGCCATGCATACACAAATACGCTCTGAAATACAGGGTGGGCCACTTAAAAGTAGCCTGCCTCCTATGCAGTATTATAGGAGGCGGGCTACTCTTAAGTGGCCCACCCTGAATAATGTTATTGACTAACATTTTCATGCGTGACTTTTTTCTTTTTGTCCGGTAGAGAAAAAATATTGTTGGTTTTAGTTGCATCCTAGAACACAGAAGAAATTGGTAAATTTTGTTACCAATTTTTACGCATTGGCTCGAAAATGGTATTGCTATTAATTAACTAATTTGCTTTCAGCATTCAACCCATGCTCCATGGACCCTAGAGAGCTCAGTCGGTTCGTCAACATTCGTATATAGCTGAACAAAAAGGAAACTGTACGGATTAGCTTGGCCGTAGGATTAGCGTGAAGAGAGGATTGGCGTTGGAGATAATTGCATTAAAAACGTCAAACTGTCACATGACGAATCAAGTTGTTCTTTATTTGCTTAACGCCAGGAGTGTATAGCATCTAGACGCCTATGTCATCCGACCTGTGAACCCCCCAAGACGAGCTATTACGTGCTCGAGAATAAATTCGACATTGGTACAGCCGAAAAAAAAGCCGAATTGAAATCAAAGCCAATTGTAAATTAATAATATTGTCTTACAACATGACGGCGCAAAAGTCCATTACTCAGTCGCAGTAAAATAGTTTTTGTCACTACTGTTCCCGGTCTGGAATTGTCTATCGGGTTCCCTAACTCGGCTCGACCGTAGCCCCGATTTAACAACGCGGGACAATTGGCTTTGGTCGTTTGTAAAGGAGCAAGTGAGCATGGTGCGTATGCATAATGTGGAAGAATTGAGCCAAGCAAGACAAAACGAAGGAAACTGAAACCTCGAGTGTACTAGTATCTCGAACGCACTACAAAGAAAGAACCAACGAATCTCGAATCGATAAAATGTCGAAAGACACATTTTTTGTCCAGCTGTTTATCTGAAAGCAAAAGGAGGTGTTCAAAACTCCATAATAATACAAACATAAGTGTTGCGCATAAGCGCAACACTTATGGCATAGTGCAGGACATCTCTGCTTGCTTAATGCTAGAAATTTTCTGAATCATTCTGTCTGCGCCTCGGTCCATGGTCCATGAAGAGTCCTTCTCTTTCCCGTTCCAACATGATACTCTGCTCCTGGCAGGGGATTTCCAAGGAGAAAATGTTTTGATGAGCCGATGACAGGAATGATGAGAACCTGAGATTCCATCGTTCGACCGAACTGTTCGTTCGAGGATCTTGGCTTTTCTAAGCATCATGGACGTTTCCCATGCCAAAAGGGAGAAGCGGAATGCGAGGATGGCCTCTTAACCGCCTACCATCAATGTAATCTTCTCGGAAGTAAGTTACAATCTCCTTTGCATATTCAGGAATTTGCGGGAGAAGAAAATTATAGGCACTGACGATGTCCTGAATAGGCACAAAGGCCTACGCAACAATCATGCGCATGAGAAGAGAAGAAAAGCCCTTGTCATTTGAAATTAATTTTGACATTGAATGACCGTGGGCAGCAGTCTCCATTTGGGAGCGCAAGTTCTACGTTTTCGATATTTTTCCGCTTTCTGTCACATTCAAGGTTTTGCCCCCTTCGACGTTGCGTGTCTTTCACCGTTAAGTTACCTTCCCCGTTTTAGTTCCTTTGAGGTTTCAATTTTCGGGATTTCGGGTGCAGTTAGTAGTACAATTAGCAATCACTACAATTTGAATTTGCAAAACTTAATATTTAGACACAAAACAAACAAAAATCAATTCCAACAGTGGTTCACCATGGCCACTGTGTCTCGTTTTATCGACTGGTTTAACAGCTCTCTAAAACGGCGACACGTCTCACTGTAGGTTTCCGTTTTGTAAAATGTCTTCATAATAAAGAAACACTTATTGTTTCTGTACCGCTGGTAATGACGATGCACCATACTTGCAAACTTTATGAGTAGTGATTCGGAAATAATAAAAAAATCAAGTAATAATCAAAATTATGAGAATAAATAATAAGATATGAAAATAATAAAATTGTAGAGACTGCTGATTGTACCACTAACTGCCCTATTACTTCTGGGACACCCTGTATTTTCACATAAGACTATCAATGACTCAAGGGATAATTATTTCTCTTGAGTTCCTAGGACTTCTGCTTCAAATTCTGCTGGTATTATCAGGTTGTAAAGGTGAAATTTAGACATTTCGATTTTTTCTAGAAAAATCTGGAAAATGTTAGAACTTTCTATGTAGGTGTATAAGTAGAGTGACCAGTGGGCATTGTGGGCGTGAGTGCTTATCGTGAACCTACAACAGATACATTGACTCAAGACTGCACTCTAGTCGTTGTTGAGTTAATTGTCAATAAATTGTTTTCTGGAAAATGTCTAAATTTCACCTTTACAACCTGATAAAACGATGATAGTTGAGTTCTTGCTGAGCAGTTTTGCAAATTTGAGGAATATCATCTGTCCACACAGGTTGGCATTTTTCCTTTTTTCGCAAAGGTTTTCTCAATAAGTCTTCAACAGCTTGATGCCAGGGGATTCCAAGGCGAGAATACAAGCTAGAAATTGCCTCAAGAGGGTTCGCCAGAATATCTTCAAAATGCATTTCGATGTAACGGTCAGGAAATTCCTTGAAGAGTTCTGAGCTATTGCGCAGTTGTGCCAACGTCACGTGACAGACATTGGTGAGGTCTTTGCACAGTTTTGAACACCAGATTTCATCGGACCTCGATTTCCACACTGATAACGGGTTCCTCCATATGCGAACGACTTTCAATTCAGGCATCTCCCTCATGAGAATCGGGATCTCCGGCCAGGTATTAATATGGGCTTCCTTAATCACTCGAATCGAATGCCTGGAACAATGCTCTTCCAGGAAGACTTCGTTCCTCACCATCCGCGAGAACACGAAAGGATTCATGGCTTCAAGCCTCATTCCATATACAAACTCAGAATAGGGCCAGTTGGGAGGTAGCAAAGCGTTCTCCCAGCGATATACCGGGAGATAGGGGATGATCCCATGGAAGTTACACATGAAAATACTTTTATGCACAGCGGGATCAGGAGGGAAAATCTTCATGCCAAACATAGGAGGTGGTCCTACAAATGGTTCGAAGAAGTATATCGCTGACGGATGAGATGATATGATTCGAGCTGTGAATGAAGTACCGCTTCGTGGAAGACCGTAAACATACACGAGGATTGGGGCAGTTCTGTTTAAGCGAAGGATTGTTGGAAGTGTCTGGAGCCACGTTCTCGCCTCCTCTGTCAGTTCTTCCTGGATTTGGTTCAACTCACATCGGCGGTGTTCTGTGGGAAGATAGAAAGGAACTCTCGCTAGGAAAGTGGGCATTCTAAATCCAGAAACAAATGTGCCTTCAATCGCTCAGAGAAGAAAGTTCGTGGAAGTAGGTATAAAGTATGTAAGAAAAACCATTGTACGCAAACCCTGTTAACCCCGTAAATTGGTATGTTCAGCAAATTCCCGATAATATGCATACTAAGTCCTTGAAATATGAATGAATTTTATTGCTCATGGTGTTTTAAATATTTTAGATCTCTTAAAAGGAAGAGATATTAATAGGTGTTGATTACATATTGTGACGGATGGGGATGGCATCGAGAGGCTCTTTTCGGGATTTGGTGGTGTAAAGGTAGCACACCTGACCGGCAATCAGGAGGCCCGGGTTCAATTCCCGGCCGTTTCTTGGCATCTTTCGTCCTCTCTGCCTTCCATCGTCCGTCTCCCATTTTCCCTCCGTAACAATATATTGCATTCCTAATGACTAAGAATACGGCTGTTACCGAATCCTTCATCGGTATGTAATCTGATATCCTGGAAAAGGAAACTAGCGTCTCGAAGTTCTCAGGTAACCTATAGATGAGTCTGGTCGCCTTTGTTTCTCATCGATTTA